CTCGGAAGGAAGATGGGGCAATCTACTTCTGTAGTGATACTGCCTCAGAAACCAAGGAAGGGTCTCTATGAGTCGGGTCCAACTTGACTGCACATAACAACAACAACAACATATAGGTTTAAAGCTTTATGATTATTTGTATACCTCATTTAACTGACCTGAATTAATTTGGAACTCGGAGACAAGTTTTAAAAGTTTTACTCAAAAGTGGCAAGTATCCATTAAAATTATGAATAAATTCTTTTGAACATTCTTTTCAATTAATGGCCTGGAATTAACCAGGTGCTAAAAGAATTATTTTCAATATTTTCATCCAAAATAGTTATTGTTGAAATAAGCTAAAAGGAGGGTAAATACTAATGCTTTGTCTTTTTCTCTTCCTTTAAGCATTACTTTTCTAGAATTAAAAAAAAAAAAAAAAAACTGATTTGTTTTACCTAAGTACTTATTTATAGATTTCCTGAGCAAGACTGTAGAATTTCATGAGTCCCGTAAAAATGGGAAAAAATAATATATCCTAGCACCATCTTTACTGAAGTCATAGTAAGTTGCTTAGGAAACTCTTTTGCAAAGACATGGTGAGGGTAACTGAGAAATTTTCACAATTTGTGCTTCACAAAGACTTCCCTGCTCAATAAACAAAATGTCTAAGTTTGGGTAGGACAAGATGGCTCCATTTACCTCTTACCTGGTGTGTGAAATACTAAAATTAAAAAAAAAAAAAAAAGTGTGGGAGAGGATAGTTGGGTTGCTATAAAAACACTTCTTTTATAGACATTGCTAAACCAAGAGCATCCAATTATAGCTCTCTCTCTGTATATACACAGATAGTATATTTATACAGATATAATTAAGATTATCATGTTACTAATCTTTCAAACTAGACTAATACAGTATGTCAATATGGGGAGAGGAAAAAATTCCTTTTAGTGCTCAAATTAATAAAATATATATGTAGATGTATATACCTAGGACCATTTTTTTAAAGTCCTCACAAGTCTAATTTATAGGCCAGTCAGTTCCATTGTCTTTTAAACACCTGATATTCTGTCCTTGCAAATATGTTATGCACATCCATGAGTAAATTTGACAGTATACATAATTTAAAAGTAGCTGGGTCTATAAATGTTTTATTTCATTATGTTTCAATCTGCACAGAGTATCTTAAAAGGAGAACCACAAGACTATGAATAAAAGATTAAAACTCTGTGGACCTTGAAACATTTGTTTATGATCTGTGACTTTAACCCAAAGAAAAGTTAAGAACTGTGTTCAGTGAGGCAAACAAACAAAATATGTGTGAGAGATGGGAGTGTAAAACTGTTTTCCCTAAAATAAAAGCTATTCACCCTAAATATTAAAAAAACAGCAAAACAAGATATCTTGTAATTAATCTTAAAAAAAAAAAAATCAAGCTGATAAATAAGGATAAACTGTGACTCTATCACATGCATTACATTAGCTTCATAGGCCATCATCTCCTGTCCCTCCCATGAAGATCCCGCTAACAGTTTTTTGTTTGTTTGTTTGGCTTTTTTTTCTTTTTACTTCCTCAGAGCCTATATTCTCCAGCATGACTTCTCTTTAAACTGCAACAGTCTAATCCTTGCATGGCCTAAGAGCTTTCCTAGACTCTTCATTCCTTGTCACCTGCTTTTGGATGAGTAGGGTTTAGAGGACAGCCTGAAAAGAAAGAATCCACTAAGGAGAAAAGATTCATCTGCATACACTTTCCCCTTCTAGTGCCCTGTGTGACTAATAGTAAACACTTACCTAATACACTTACACTAATACCACTGTGTACCAGGCCTTGTTCAAGCAGTCTCCCTTTATTGATATTTACTCCTCATGACAACTCTATGACATAGTTATTATTATTACCCCTAGTTTTAAACATAGGCAAAGATCATTTAAGTAACTTGCCCAAGAATAGACTGCACTACCTATTTGGGGGGAGCTCTTGTGGCATGGTGACTAAGGCCTTTGACTGCTAACCAAGAGGCTGGCAGTTCAAACCCACCAGTCACTCCTCAGAAGGAAGGTTGGGCAATCTACTTCTGTAGTGAGACCACCTCAGAAACCCAAGGAGGGGTCGCTATGAGTCAGATGTGACTTGATGGCAGTGTGTTGCATTCGTTGTTTTACCTTTTTGGGACTCGTCTGTCTCAGCCCTCTGGCTCTCTTCCTTCTTTTTTTATTCTTTCTCATACTTCCTTCTACTTCCTCCCTCCATCTTACCTCAACTCTTAATAAACCTTGCTAGCAAAACAAGTTGTTTCTAGTCTTTATGGGAACAGGGAGTCAAGATGATAGAGAACATGGTACATTGGGTATTGCCTGTGGAGAGTACTTAGTGAAGCTCTGGACAGTTAAAGAAAATACAACAATAACAACAAAGATTGTTAGGATGTTGGAGGGTTATGTGGTGTCAAGATGGTCAATCTCTGAATTTAGGGTTAATTATAGTCCAGATTATACCTCAAATCACAGAAAATAAAATTTGGTAAGCATTGGGGGTTTTGTGGATATTTATTTTATTAAAGAATGACAAAAAATGATGTATTTTTTTTTAAATTTCTGTAGGAACACATCTAGTATTTCTGTCTGTGAAAAGCAAATGTAAGGGGGAAAGAAGATGTCAATGTAGCTGTTATCACTACTTTAATTTTTCTAAATGTGAAAGGTTTTCCATGGTCAGTTTGGAGTAGTGGTTAGAAGCACAGCCTATGAAGTCATTCTGACTGGGCTTCAATCCTCTCTGCACCTTCCAGCCCTGCCTTAGGCAAATAACTAAACTTTCTGGCCTCCTTTTTCTCTGACATAAGAGGGCTAATAATGTCTTTACCTCATAGGGTTGTGATCCAGATGAGATTCATTAATGTTAATTAGTAAATGTATAAAACAGTCTTATATAGTGTACATGGTAAGCACTATCATTATTGTTTTGTAAAATATCAAACTCACTCCCTGCCATCGAGTTGATTCCAACTTATAGTGACCCCTTTTGGGTTTCCAAGGAAGTAAATCTTTACATAAGTAGATTGCCTAGTCGTCCTTCCATGGAGTGGCTAGTGGGTTTGAACCACCAGCCTTCTGGTTATCAGTCAGATGCTTCAGGCACTAAACCACCATGGCTCCTTTTGAAAAGTATAATGTGTCCAAAAAAATGGAATTTATATTCACAGCCTGGCACTATATTATACCAGATTCTTTTATTTAACCAAAACTTCCATTAGTACAACTATTTAGCATTTCTATAATATTCTTTTACTGCTCTAGTTAATCAGTATTTACCTTAAACTTAATTTCTATCAAAGTTCCAGCTTTCTTATTCCACTATGAAAGGAATCTTAATTCTATATTTGATGGCAGTACCCTAAAACATAGACCACTTTCAGTCATATAATCACATATTGGGTATTTAGATCATATAAAAACTAAAACCCTGAAGTTCATTCATAAGAGTTGCATGACTCAACACTTAAACCTCAGTTATAAATACTTTAAAGAATAAAAGGCTTAGTTCCAGAAAAGCAGATATATGAAGTGGAGGATTATTTTTTAAATTATCACTACCGTTGTTTCTCTTGTCATAACTCAAGCTTTGCTTTTGCTTGATCCCTGCCAGGAGCCAAACACTGGACATGTGATCCTATTTCAGCACCAGAACACTTGAACAGCACCATTGTGAGTTTTCTAACCACTCTGTGGCTCCTAGTTAAATTTATGCTTAACCTCTGGCATTTTTCACAGTGGGTCCTTTCAGTCAAAACCAGACAAATTATAGAAAAACAGAGAGCAAAATAATAAGAACATGGCCTGCATCAACATTTAATAGTCTCAGTGATTTTTTTTTCCCCCTCCTGGAATGGAAAGTAAATTACATACTGAAAACATGAGTACATTCACATATCCAGGAATTGAAGTTAGGTAAGTAAATAAATGCCTTCATCTTCATATTTTAAGTGACCCAGGAAAGAAACATTGAGCATAAGCAGATTCTCTAGCATTGGATAGCGGATCATCTTTTAAGCCAGAACTTTGGAGAGATACATAGATAAAATATTTATAATAGATGATAGATTACCTAGTTGGAATCCTGAAGTCTGCATTACTTCCCAACTTGTAAGCTACTTGTAATGCAGTTGATCCCACTACCCTCTGGATATCTCTTCTTGATGCTGCTTTATCTATCTGGAACTGAGAAATCAGATCAAACCCTATAGAAAGGGAACAGAGAATAAAACGTCTATAATGAGATTGATTGTATCCTTCTCCACAACTTTCCCAAATACAATAAGAAACCAAAAGCATCTATTTACAATGATGCATCACTACTTGCCTGGTAAGTCATCTTGGCCAATCCTGATCTTAGGGCACAGTTCATCTCTACCATTAGAATCCAAATTGACAGGGAACCCTTCAAAAGAGACAGCATATTATCCTATCTCATCCACTACAGGGATTGCAGGATGTACTCATCTTCGTAAGAGCTGAGAAACTATTTAAAATACAATCTTATACCAAACAACATGCTTATAAATATTTGGCTTTAACCCTGTGGTTCTAATATTATAATTCACTCACCAACTAGACACAAGTGACTTTAATAATTTGTGCTGGGAAAATGTTCCTTTTGAGGAGGTTAGGAATTTATTCCTCTTGGAACCAGAGCTGTACAATATCTTGAATGACACAGTGTCTGAAGCCTGTTTGTTTTGGGCTAGAAAATATTCCTTAAACTGTACAGATTTTAGAATTCCAAAAAGAATCCAGAGCCAACCTTGAACTAAGGCTGCTGAAGAGTGGAATTCTTAAGAATCTTTCTCAAATAGAGGAAAGAGTTGGGGAAATCATGGGATTCACTAATCCTAAATAGTATATAGAAGATGCATTAATTTCACAATTTCTTTCTAAAAGATCAAATAAAAGTGTTGATTATACTATTGCTAGCAACCTAGAATGTAGAAAAGCAACAAGGAGGAGAAAATATAAGAAGGATTAGATTCTCAATTTGATGCAAAATCCTAGAATGCAATTGGGTTCTCCTTACACAAGTAGAAGCTGTAGTGAGGGAGAGTTCTTTCCCCACCACAAAAGGGTTCTTGTACCTGTCCAATTCTGACACCCTGCTTAGGTTTGCCTCACCACAAAGTCTTCTAGACCTCAGGGAAAAAAAAAAAGGCATTTTCCATTCATATAGCTTTGACCCAGGTATCCCAGGATATCTGACCATATTCTACATTTTCCCTGAGCCCAGATTGTTGACATCTGTCTGTGCATCCCTTTATCCATCCATCTACCCATGTATCTATACAACATTTACCAATCACCATCCAAACCAGGAAGTGTGCTAGGCCTTCCTTCCAACTGTGATCACAGTCAGGACTTCCTTTCCATACCCAACACTCACCACAGAAAACCAACTCCTAAAATATACCCATGACCCAAAGCTGCATTGAAGAGTGAGATGTGAAGGACTCAGCACACTACATCCATCCTGATCACTCCTGAGAATAAGTGATATTTCAAAATCTAGAAACTGTAGCCCTTACTTGGGCGTCGCTTCACAGTGGCAGATGCCCAGGGTTCCAGGATACTCCATACAAAGAAGAAAACTAGGATTTTCCTAAAGAGGAGAGGGAAAAAAAAAAAAAAAATGCTTTAAACTAGAGGCCCTCCAAATGGGGACTACCTTCATATTTTTAAACCCAGGAAGCCTAATTAATGTAGGTGATAAAAGCCCAATATAAGTAATTTTTTCCCTTTTTGACTTTGATATCTTACCGCAGTTTTAATGAATTTTCCATTTCCAGCTCCCACTCTCCCTGTTTTTTCTCTCATGCCCTCTGTCTCTATTTGTCACACTGTTTCTGTGTATATTTCCTTGTCTCTGTTTTTTTTTTTTAATCTTTGTTTTTCAGCCTCTTCATGTCTCTACCTATTTCACTGTCCCTGTCTCTTTTTCCTGTGTCTCTTTCTCTTCTCCTTTTTTCCTCTTCTGTCTTCTCTCAGATTTCTCTCTCTTCTCTTCCTCTCTTACCCTATCACCACTAAAAAAACACAGACCCTTGTTTCCAAGGACCACAGCCCAATCTCCCCACCATTTATTTAGTGACATAGTCTTACCAGCAGTTCTTCATTTTCCCAGTTGGTTTTCTTTTGTTACCAACAGTCCCTATGAAGAAGGGGCTGCGAGGGAGTCCGTGCTCCCCCAAGACCCCTTCACTGCCACCTTAGGACTGATGGGCCCTTCCTTGGTCCCTCCTGCCCCTGTGAGGGCTAAAAGCAAAGGAAGCAAACCAGAAGCATCTGGTGACACTTTATACAGAAGCAGAGGAGAGGGGGTGGAGAGGCTGTCCCATAAGGCCAGGCCTAGGCAGGGGTGTGTTCCCAAAGCTAATAAAGTTACACTGAAGGAGGGATTAGCAGAGGAAACTTTGCTGAAAAGGAAAAATATCAGGATGTGGGTAAATTCACCAGAAAGATCTGGGGCAAGCTGCTATGGGAATACAGTGGGAGCTTTTAGCAGTGCTATAGGAATACAGTGGGAGCTTTCACAGGCCTGAGGTTCCAGTAGAGAGGTGTGGGAACTCATGAGAGCCTTGGGGCCCAACTAGCCTAGGTTTGAATCCTGTTTGTTCTGAAGCTTACTAGTTGTATGCCCTAGGGTAAGTTAGTTAAACTCTCTATAACTTTGTTAGCTCAATTGCAAAATCAAGTGAAAGTGGGTGCCCAAAACAATTATTTTGAGTGTTAAATGACATAGCAGAGTTTAATGCCTTGCTCAGATAGGTGATCATTCATCATTGTCATGGTTATTATGTGCCCTCCTTTGTTGAAATTTCTTGAGGCTTAATGATATTTAAGGAGCCCTGGTGGCAACAGTGGTTAAGTGCTTGGATGCTAACCAGATTGTCAGCAATTTGAACCCAGTAGCTGCTCTGTAAGAGAATGATGAGACAGTCTGCTTCCATAAAGATTCCAGCCTTGGAAACCCTATCGACCAGTTCTACTCTCTCCTATAGGATCACTGAGTCAGAATCAACTCAACAGCAGTGGGTAATGACATTTGATTCTCACAACAACACTATAAAGCAAGACTAAAAGTGTCTCTACAGATAAGACTAAGGCACAGAAAATAAACTTATTCCAAGTTGAACAGCTATTTACTTAATACGTGTTAGCTCTTTCTACTTCATGGCAAGAAATCTCTATAAAATACAACATCAACCCCCCAGTTCTTACTTCTTAAACTCTGAGATTTCCAGAGCTGAGAAAAATATCCTTGGAAATAAAACAAGATGAGTGAGTTGCAAGGAGCACTAACCTGGAGAGACACTTTGTCAACAGCACTGTCATGCATGCCCACGCACTCTCTCCAGAAACTAAGACCTTCAAGAGAAGAAATGGCAGACCTCATGACCCTCATCCCACCCAGTCAGTCTGCCCTACTTCTGGTTTCATCCTGGGCAACATGGATGTCCAAACAGGTATTCTCACGGTAAGAAGATCCAATGATCTCAGTAAGTCATGGTGTCTAATGAAAATAGTTGTGAGGTGGTTTTATTTCCTTTAAGTTTCTTCATTTTTGTTTTTAATTTAATTTTTAAAATTCAATTACAAAATAGACATTATTACTTCTTATGTTTTGTTAGTTTGTATTCAAAAAGGCCTCCCTCAGCTTGCTGGAGAGTTTCCCCTGCAGTGAACTGTGAACTAGACAAATTTTTACTCTCCCCCAGCCCTTCCGTATCCCTTTTCTATGGCCCACCTGTTGGAGTCCTGTCTTCCCCTTGCAAAGGGACATCCATTTCATGTTATTTGGGGCTTTCTACAAGGTGCTATCATTCTCCTTTCCTATCAAAATTCCCACTCCCTAGGCTCTGGTTAGCATAGTGGCTAAAGCACTTGACTGCTAACCAGAAGGCTGGTGGTTCAAACCCACCAGCCACTCCTTGGAAGGAAGGTTGGGCAATCCTACTTCAGTAGTGATACTGCCTTGGAAACCCAAGGAGGGGTCGCTATGAGTCGGGGCCGACTCGACAGCACATAAAAAACAACAACAACAGGCTCTGGTAGCATAGTGGCTAAGGTACTTGACTGCTAACCAGAAGTCTGGAGGTTCAAACCCCCCAGCCACTCCTCAGAAGGAAGGTTAGGCAATCTACTTCTGTAGTGATACTGCCTTGGAAACTCAAGGAGGGGTCGCTATGAGTCAGGTCTGACTCGATGGCACATAACAACAACAATATTACTTGTTCTAGGAAGAAAGAAGCAAGACAGATTTTCCTATACAATTAAAACATTCAAGAAATGCTTTTATTGATTGTTTTAGAAATCTTATTTTGCATTTGCCCCTCCTCACACTTTAAAGAAACCTCTACAGCTAGAATCTGAAGGCAGGGGAGAGGAGCCTTTTCATAAATGATAAAAGAATAGAGAGGAAAATAGGTTTGCTCATAAGTGCTTTGGCTTATTTCCAGCTTGGCAGTTTTATTTAAGATGGTGAAAAGCAAGCAACAGCTCTATTAAGAGAGAATATAAATCCAGAGAAGACAAAGAATATATATATATCCCCCAAATCCACTGCCAAAGAGCTGAAGGTAGTTGGATGGTTGACTCATAGTGACCCCCACTGGGTTTCCAAGGTAGAAATCTTTACAGAAGTAGATTGCCTCATCTTCCTTCCATGGAGCAGCTGGTGGGTTTGAACCACTGACCTTCTGGTTAGCAGTCAAATGCCTTAGGCACTGTGCCACTACACACACACACACACACACACATACACACATACATATATATCTGATGGTGTACTGGGTAAGGCATTTGGATTTTTTTCTTCTCTCCATTCATTTTCTATTAATCATATATCCTAACACGACATTGGGAAACTTGGTGTCATAGTACCTAAAGCATTTGACTGCTAACCAAAAGGCTGGTAGCCACTCTGTGGAAGGAAGATTTGGGCCATCTACTTCCATAGAGATACCACCTCAGAAACCAAGGAGGGGTTGCTATGAGTTTTAATCGACTTGACAGCAGTGAGTTTGGCTTTTGGTTTAACATGACATTAGAGTCTCAAAGAGTGCAGTGCAAACCCCACACTCTTGTGGTACTTCACCCCACACTCTTGTGGTACTTCTGGTCTGGGTCACACTAAAGTCACAGACACATAAACTTTGCTCATCATTATCTCTATTCTTTCACTCTACCTAGTAGTAATTTTTCTAAAAGAAAACAAAATGTGGAAATGAGATTTGTTCAATCATATCAGACTTTTTTTATATGCACTAAGATAGTTTTGTTTTGTTTTTGATGATCTGTTTTATAAATAGTTAACTCACTACACTGCTACTTGAAATGTTGCATGGTTGAGTCCACCCAGATGCATGTTGGCAGAAAAGCCTGGCAATCTACTTTGAAAATCTGCCATTGAAAACCCTGTGGAGCTAAGTTCTACTCTGACACACATGGGGTCATTGAGAGTCAGAGTCAACTTAGCTGCAATGTATTATGTTTTAAATAGAAGTATTTTATACAGAATAATTGCACTTTCACCCCTTTCAACTCCCTCCCTCCCAGACACACTGCCCTGCACAACATATACACTTACTTACACACTAGCCTTTTCCTTTTAATAAATCCAGAATTTTATTTACTTATAGTTTAAATCAGAGAACATCATCCCAAATAATCATCTTTGTTAATCATCTACTTTATTTTCCTTTGTTTATTCAATCACTCGATCAACCTTTATTGAATAACTATATGTACCAATTATGTGCTAGTAGTTAAGGATACAAAAAACATTTTTAAAAAAAAGCACACCTTTGCTTTGAGGGATCCCATAGTCCAGCGGGGAAGAAAAGGACTGCAATGCAGTGAGTAAAAGAGGCTGTAGTGTCACAGATAAACAAGTATGAACTCAATCCAAGGGTTTTCAGAAATTTTTCCTAAAGGATATGAAATCTTCCAGGATGAATAGAAGTCTACCAAGAGAACAAGTAGGTACAAGCATTTTAGGCAGAGAGAACAGTAGCAGGTACCATGACAAAGAAGGTAGAAGACAACTTTTGAGGTACCACAAGTTTAATTTACTCACTCTTCCATTCAGTGAATATTTATTAGTGACACCTCCATCAAAAACCCTGAGCTGCTCTCATCACTGGAGGTAAGGCAGAGAAAGACCTGGCCCACGCTCTCGTGGAGCTTACGTGCTGTGGAGTGTCTTAGTGTCCTAGTGCTGCTGTAGCAGAATTTCCAAAAGTGGGTGATTTCAAAGAACATTTCTTTTTCTCACTGTTCTGGAGGCTAAAAGTTCAAATCAAGGTCTTGGCTGTATTGATTCCTTCCTGGTCAGTATCCCTCAGCATTCTTTGACTGCTTGGTAATCCTCACATGGCACCTGTCTTACCCTGTGTGTAGATGTCTCTGTGTCTTTGCTGCTCTTTATATAACTCAGAAATGATTCAGTTTAAAATCCACCCTACGCTGGTGTGGCTTCAATTAATTGATTGTATTGCATTAGATTACATTATGGGAGGTAGATATGTTGCACTAAATTATTTTATAGAAGGTGATTACATTATATGTACAATGATTATTACATAACATTACGTTAAATTACATCCACAGGTATAGGGATTAGGATTCCACATAATTTTGGGGGACACATTTCAGTACATGAGGAGATAGACACTAACCATATTTATAAGAATAAACAAGATACGTTAAGTTGGAATTGCTATAAAAAACATAAGAGAGCAATGTGTACTAGAGAAAGACTGAGGCATGTCTTAGAGGCTGATCTAGATTAAGGAGTCAGGGGAGGACTCCCATGAGTATTGACTCAGACCAGTTGATAAGGAGGAGATGAGTCTGAGAGGGTGTATTGGAAAAGGGGTGGGAGGTAGAAAGAACTATCTGGCTTTCAGCTTTAGCAACTGAGTAGATGTCAATGCCATTTTCTGAATTGGCAACGAGTAAGAGACCCATGGGGAATTGCAGGAGTTGGATAAGGGGTCATGGAGAGGTTTGAAAGAGTTTGGACTTTATTCTAGTTTTTATGGAAACTGAGTGAAGAGTTTGCAGCCAAAAATGACTTCTTTAGGTGTATGTTTAGAAAGATGTTGCTTGAAGG